GTTCACACAGTGATACGTTTGTAAATAAGAAAAAATAAAAAATTTATACCCCCCCCCCCCAAACACCTCCCCTCCCCCCCCCCCCCCAATTAAGTTAGACCCGGACAAAGTGATATGGATGGAAAACAGCGGAATTTCCCAAGAAATGTGCAGCACTCGTGTAGTCTTAACAGATAATCAGGGTGAGAAGGGACCTTATAGGTCATCTAGTCCAGCCCCCCACCACCACAGGAGACCCTACACCATTGCTGACAGATGGCAGCCCAGTGTCTTCTTGAAAGCCTCCAGTGATGAACCTCCCACAACTTCTGGAGGCAAGCAGTTGCCCTGCTTAAAAGAACTATAGAATAATGTTTGGAAGGGACCTTAGAGGTCGTCTAGTCCAACGTCCCGCCCCAGCAGGAGACCCTACCCCGTTTCTGACGAATGGCAGCCCAGTCTCTTCTTGAAAGCCCCGCCCCCCGCCCCCCCCCCCCCCCCCCCTGCCGGTCACTGCTCGTCCGCCCCGTCCGCCTTCTCGCCTCCCGCGCCGGCGGCTTCTCCCTCGGCCCCTCCTCGATGGGTGCCCCGGGCCTCGCTGGGGCTCCTCTCCCCGGGGACCGAGATGATGCGCCCCCCCCGTGCGGGGCCCGGAGGGCGCAGGGGAGGGCTTCCAGGTCGGCGTCGGGGGGTCAGCCGCAGCTCCTGGCGTCCCCGCCCGCCGCCTCCTTCCTTCTCCTGCTTCCCCTCCAGCGGGACCGTCAGCTCCTCCGCCAGGAAGGCCGCCCCGTCGAGGGCCAGCAGCAGACGGGCCCGGGGGGGTGGAGGAAGCGGCTGCGCGGGCCCCGCCAAGCCCAAGCCGGGCTCCTCCAGGGCGAGCAGCACCGCGCGGAGGAGCCGCTCCGGCCGCCCAAGAGGGCCTTGCCGTCGGGCCCCTGCGGGCCGAAGCTCCTCCGCTCGGCAGGCGACCGACGCCGCTGCCCTCGCAGCCCCCGACGGGCGGCGGGTTTTTCTCCGGGAAGCCCCTCCCCCGGGTGGTCGACGCCCCTTTTGACCCCGCTGTTCTGTACGGACATTTGCATACTCGAAATCTGGCAGCCCGGATTGGCCAAAGCGCACGGCCACCGGATTGGCTGAGTGCACGGCACTGATTGGTCGTTCGGAATCGGCCGCGATTGGCTGAGCCGATCGCGGGCGATTCAAAACGACCCGATTGGCCGCCGCACTCGGGGCAAAATGCTTTTAAGCCGCGCTTCTCCCCCACTTTCCACACTTGTGTTTTCCCTGAATAAATGAGCTGAACCAAGTCACTGCCTCGCGTCCTTTGTTCATATGAGAGATACGACACCCGCCCCCCCGTGTCCCTCCCCCCCCGGGCTTTGGGAAGGGTCGGCGCTCGAACAGGTAGTTTTAAAAAACTGAATCCCACCACTGCTCCTGATTGTAAGGAGACAGCTTCAACTCTAGGTCACCGCACCGCTTGGTTGTAAATCTGTTGCTATTTGGTAATAATGCCAGAGGGATTGGATTGGATCCGTGTGTGACTAAGTTGATCAGGAATCTAGGCACATTTCTCTCTTGACTCCACCACCACTCTCCTCCTCCTCCTCCTCCATATATCTATATATTCATCGTATCATGGTTTAACTGTTGGTGGCCAGACAGCCAGAGTTGTTCTGCACAAAATTGGCAGTTATGTCAATGTTACAAAGAGGGAAATAAAACTATCGATGAATCGGAACAGAGCTGGAAGGGATCCCCGGAGGTCTTCTAGTCCGACCCCCTGCTCAATGGGGGGGAATACATTTGCCAGCCGTTGATACCCCTGTGTGACAGACACAGTGGGCGTCCCCAAGGAAAGTCAAATGAGTCAAAATGGCAGCCATAACTTGTTGTGATCTAAACCCGGTGTGACTTTTGTACAGGCCATGCACCATCAGAGCTGCCATCTTGATTTTTTTTAAAAAAGAAACTTTTTAAAGTCTTTGCATGGCAAGGCGAGAGGCAGTTTATTCGGTTAGTTCTCAACTTGCAATGGTTCGTTTAGTGACCGAAGCTAACAGTGGCATTGAAAGCAAGTGGCTTACCTCCGTTTTTCGCACTTAACGGCCATTGCAACATCCACGCTTGGCCACTGATTCGTATTTACGATGGGCGCCGCGTGCTTGGGGGGCATATGATCTCCTTTTGTGACCTTCCGACGAGCAACGGGGAAGCCAGATTCACTTAATGACCATGTGACTGCAGGGATTCGCTTAACAACCGGGGGGGAAGAAAGTTGGTAAAATGGGGGGGGGAAAAAACTCACTTAACAAAAGTCTTGCTTAGCGACATAAACTCTGGGCTCAATTGTGGTCGTTGAGGACTAACCTGTAGTGCACAATAGGAAGCCATGGAGAGAGACCAGCTGGCCCAAGGAACCGCCAAGAGTCGGGCACGACTGAATGCATTTAATTATTACCATCGTGTTTGTTTAAAAGACGTTCCCCATTGTGGTTTCTCGCTAAACCTTTATATATTTCTTTTTATATCCTGCATTGATTCTTTTTTTACAAATAACGCAAGGGGGAAGAACATATCCAACATACCTTCCAGCTATTTTTCTTCAACAACAACCCTGCGAGGTGGCATGGGGGAGAGGGGAATTTGGCCCAAAGTCACTGAGCCAGGCTAAGGAGGGACTAGAACTCCCCGTCTCCCAGTGACTGGGCCAAGGTTAATCATAGAAACTGGCTTTTGTGGCTTAAGGAGACTAGAACTTCCCCGTCACCAGCTTTCTATCCTGGCTCCTTAACCCGAACTAGCTCAACAATTAAATTAGTTTAAATTAATTCCATACATCTCACTGCAAACAAACAAACGCCTCTAATTGATGCAACCTGCCTCTAATTGATGCAACCTGCAAAATCCTATCAATTGAGGCAGATCTCCGGCAAAATTATCCCCCCCCCTTCCTCCTTCCTGCACCGCCCCTTGCAAAACGGGGCGAGGGCGGGAAAACCGGCTGTTAAAAAAAAAAGAAGTGAGGAAAAAAAAAAAAGCCGCCGATTTTTTTGCAGCGCCCTCCGGGTCGAGGAAGAGGCGTGTGCATTTGCAACTGCGTGTCTCCAAGGAGATGCCAAGCTATAAAATATCCCTTCCTCCTCCTGGCAATTCTGGAAAGCGCGCGCTCTTTTTTAAAACCAAAAAGCCAAAGATCGACGTGCCATATCAATTTGCAAGGATGCCGCGGAAATGCAAGGATGCCGCGGGATGCAAGGAGGGAATGAAATGCAACGGTGCAATGGAATGCAAGGATGCAACGGTTTGCAACGGTAGCCCCCCGTCCCAAACGCGGTCACGTCTGCAGGGATCGGAGCACGGCGACCCCGACTCCCACCCGCACGGGGCTCGCTTCCCTCCGAGCCGGCTCCAACCCCTTTACAACTTTGTTGCAACTCTCGCTCCGCCTTTTCCCCCGGGGCATCGCCAGAAGAGCAGCGGCAAGCGTCGTCGAGGCGCGCAAATCCAGCCGAAGCAGCGAGCTGCGTCTCTCCTGGCTCGCTCTCTGGCTACTACTACTACTAGACGGACGGACAGTCGGAGGAAGAGCAGTTGCAGTTGCAGCACAGCCCGGTTGCCGCCATGTCGAGCTTCTCCCGCGAGTGCCGGCTGCGCTTGACCCGCGGGGCTCCGCGGAGCTTCGAGTGCGTGTCGCTGGGGATGCCCCCGCAGGCCCTGCTGGACCAACTGGTGGGCGACCTGCAGAGCCACCTGGAGGAGATGGAGCGGCTGCGGGTGGGCTTGCTCGACGCCTACCCTCGCCTCTCCGGCTGGCCGAGCGGGAGTAGCGGCGGAGGAGGAGGAGGAAGGGACGGCGGGGGTCCCCGCCGGAGCGGCTCGAGCAGCGGCTTCCCCCGGCTGGAGCAGAGCGACGACGGGCGCACCTACTACTTCGGCTTGGAGGTGGGCGACTTCTGCCCCGACGAGCTGGCCGTCAAGGTGGACGGCGCCAAGCTGACGGTCTGCGGCCGGCGGGACCAGCGGAGCGAGGCGTCCGACGGCTGCGTCTGCCACGAGGTCCGCGAGGTCCGACGCGAGCTCCTCCTGCCCGACGACGCCGATTTGGAAGCGCTGACCTGCTGCCTGGCGCCCGAAGCCGGCCGGCTCCGCATCGAAGCGCCCCGCTTGGGGTCCAGCCCGGCTTGGGAGCGCACCGTCCCCATCCCCATCTGCCGCAACAACGACGGGCCGGCCGGGAGCTTGCAAGGCGGCCGGAGCCCTTCGCCGGGCAGCCCGGAGAAAGCCTGCATCTGAGCGGTTCGGCGGCCGTCCCGAAAGTTTCGCCCGGGTCTCGTTCGGTTTCTCTTTGTTCGACGGGGGTTGGTGGGGTTGCAGTTATAAGGAAAAGGGGGTTTCGTTATGGGGGGCGCGGCTGCAAGTCTGGGGTGGAGGGGGGCTCAGTTTGGCGTTCTCCCCGACGTGCCGAGCTACGAGTTGAAAAGTTTCGTTGAATAAAGTTTTGGTTTTTTTGCGCATCCAAAACCCCGGTCTGGTTTTTCTCTTTTCCACCCCACCCCGCATCGAACTCAGAACCCTTGTTGGAAAGGGACCTTGTAAGGTCGTCTAATCCACCCCGTCCGCTCGAGGATGCTCTACCCAGGGTTAGTCCACTCCCCAGCCGGCCACGCTGCGGTGGCTTTTTTTTTAAAGGCAGTTTTTACAAGTGTTGGAAGGGACCTCAAAGGTTCATCTAGTCCAACCTCCCTCCGCTCAAGCGGGAATCTCTATACGGGGGGGGTCCAATATTGGGAACTTTTAAGGCTTCAACTCCCAGAATTCCCCAGCCAGCCATGCTAACGTTGGCTTTGGCAGATCTACAGAACGAATGAATTAGAAGAGACTGGTAGGTCATCTAGTCCACACACCAAACAACCCCCGCCCAAGCAGGAAACCCTACACAATTTCTGACAAGATTGCAATCTCGTCTCTTCTCAAAAGCTGCTATCACAACTACTGGAGACAACTTCTGCTGCAGATAAGAATAAGAGTTGGAAGGGACCTTATAGGTCATCTAGCCTAACCCCTCCCTACCCAAGCAGGAGACCCTACACCAGTTCTGACAAATGGCAGTCCAGTCTCCCCTTAAAAGCCTCCAGGGATGAAGCTCCCACAACTTCTGTTCCATGGGTGGATTATTCTCACTGTCAGAAAGTTTCTTCTTATTTGCAGGTTGAATTTCTCCCTGGTCAATTTCCATCCATTATTCCTTGTCTGGCCTTCAGGGGCTTTGGAGAATAGCTTGACCCCCTTCCTCCTCTCTGGGGCAGCCCCTCAAAGATTGGAAGGCTGCTCTCCTGTCTCCCCTGGTCCTTCTCTTCCCTAGACTAGCCAGGCCCAGTTCCTGCAACCGTCCATCGTATGTTTCAGCCTCCAGTCCCCTCGTCTTCCTGGTTGCTCTTCTCTGCACACACTAATGTGCAAGATGCTTTTAAAAGCTAGGATTTGATTTGGGTTAAGTGCAGCAAAAGCCCTTAAACCCTCCCTTGCTAAAGATAACAGAGAGAAGAGCTTGCAACACTTGGAGGCTGCTGGTTTTAGAGCCTGTTTTTTTTTGTGTCACGCTATCCTGGAAAGCAAATAGTTGCAAGAAAGAAAGCGCGCACACACACACACACAAAACCCGGACAGCCCCCCACAACCCAGAATTAGTGCAACTGACTCCCAACCCTCCTTTCTTCCCAGGCTCCTGAACTTAACAGTGAGAGCACCCGAACCTCAAAGATCATTTTGCAGATTTAAAAAAAAAAAAAAAACCAGCTTGCAAAATTTGCTTATCAATTCCAGGGACCCTGGCTTTGAATCCACCCCTGCAAAACTCAACTTTGAAGTGCAGCCAGTCCCGCTTCTTGCAACCATTTGTTTAGTGACCGTTCCCAAGTGACAACGGTACTGGGGCGGGGGGGGAGGAGCAACTGGCCATCACACTTTTTAACAGTTGGGGTCCTGGAGTTAGGTGATCCTGTTTTGCGACCGCCTGGCGATAAAGTCAATGGGGAAAGCCAGGTTCGCTTAGCCCTATAACTCAGTGATTCACTTAACAACCGAGGCAAGAAGGCTCGTAAAATGAGGCAAAACTCACTTAGCAACTGTCTGACTTGAGCAAAAGAAATTTGGGACACAATTGTCATAAATTGAGGACTGCCTGAACCAATGAGAGCAAACCTTTTTGTTGTGGTGTGCCTAAAGCGCGCATGCTGGCACCCACAATGCAATGCGCTCCACCGCCCTGTGCACGTGTGCACCCTCCCCCCTTACCTGCACTGCGCATGTCCGTCTCCCAGGTGATTTTCGGCCTGTTTGAGGCTGTTTTCACCCTCCTGGAGGCTCAAGGGAAACCTCTGTAGCCTTTGGAGGTCAAAAACCGGGCCCGTTTTGTCACTTCTGGTATTTCCAGAAGGCCCGTTTTTTTGGCCTCCTGAGGCTGCAGAGGCTTCCCTTGAGCCTCCGAGAGGGCGAAAACGGCCTCAAACCGGCCGAAAATCAGCTGGGAGGTGCATGCATGCGCAGCGCAGGTAAGTTTGTCTGGGGCTCGTGTGCCCGCACAAATGGCTCTGCGTGCCACCTGTGGCACGTGCGCCATAGGTTCACCATCACAGGCCTGAGCCATTGGAAAAAAAAAATCCCCAAATCCCTTATCCGTCGAAGGGCTCCGATTTCAAGAAAGGGATGTTGTAAAATACTTTGCACGAGCTGAAGTTGGAGGTTTTCCGAGCTGGCAGTTGCTCATTAAAAGGGACGCGGTGGCTCAGTGGCTAAGACGACGAGCTTGTTGATCGGTTCAGATCCCTAGCGCCGCGTCACGGAGTGAGCTCCCCCGTTCCTCGCCCCACCTTCTGCCAACGGAGCAGTTTGAAAGCACATAAAAAAATACAAGTAGAAAAACAGGGACCCCTTTGGTGGGAAGGGAACAAGCGTTCTGTGCGCCTTCAAAGGCGTTTAGTCCTGCCGGCCACAGGATCACGGAGACGTCTTCGGACAGCGCTGGCTCTTCGGCTTTGTAACGGAGATGAGCACCGCCCCCCGCCCCCAGAGCCGAACACAACTAGCACGGATGTGCCAGGAGAGGAACCCTTACCTAGTTATCAAGGGTGAGCCCCCCACTGTGTCCAGCCTGAACATCTGGAGCAAGCAAACCATACACGGGTTTGTGGGCTGGTGTGCACGAGGCCAGCAAGCCAGCAGCGTGTGAATACAAAGAGAGAAGGAGAAACCAGATTCCACACAGATCACGTTCATGGTGGGAAAAGAAAAAAAACCAAGACAGACAATTCTCAAAGCAAGAAAAGGCACATCGAGGTGCAGCATTGCCAAAGGCTTTTGTTTTGGGGAGGGAGGGAGGGAAAGGTGAAAGGGACACGGGGGTGGGGTAGGGGGAAACTCTCACCCAATTTTACAGCCAACAAATCCTCTCCCAAACGTGGCCTCTTTAAGACCTGTGGACTTCAAAACTCCCAGAATTCTCTCTGGCTGGGGAATTCGGGGAGTTGGAAGCCCCACGCGTCTTAAAGCGGCCGCTTTCTGAGACCCCACTGCTCCAAGCCTGCGGGGGGAGAGACTCTGATTCGAAATGGCCATCAAATGCATCGGATTTGGGTGGGCGGGCTGTGGGGAGTGGCAGCTCACTTGGGTCCTCATATCACCATGGTTACCAGCATCCCTCTTCCTGCATCCTACCAGTGATTCGCATCTGGTCTGGCCACGGCCCCTGCGCTGGAACGCCGAAAATTTGGTTGGGTTCTTCTATCAACCCAATAGACCGTGGCGGGCTTCCGGAAGAGAACAGCCCTCCCGGTCACTTGGCCAACACAACAATCATCCCCAGCCAGCTCCTTGGGAAAAGGTGACACAAGAGACTTGTGTACAGGTGCGTGTCGTTCGGGGTAATGGAGTTGGAGAGACGTGGGCATGGACACATTTCGGAGGTAAACTCTTCGGGGGTTGGCACAGGAGCCCCCAACTCCCCCCCACACACACACAACAATTTGGGGTCTTGTTCAGTCCGGATCCCCACAGCAGCCACTTTGGATGGTTTCACTTTGCGACGCCGGAGTGGTGCTCAGGAGTCCTTCTGCAAGTCGAGAAGGAGAAGGTAGAGCTTTCTTGTCACGGCCACCTGAGATGGGGAAGCAAACCAAGGTTGAGCGGCGGCGGCTGTTAGGCAGGGAGGCAGAGAAAGCGAGGGATTGCGAGATTGGCTGGGAAACTGCCCCAGAACGTTGAGAAGGAAGATCACGGGACCGCAACCGCAGCCCAGAAGCAACCAATCACGTTGAAGCAACCATAGCTTGCCCAAATTTCATCCCCTTGCGAGTCCTGGGTCCCAGATTTTGAACTGTTAGCCCATCTGAGGTGCCTTATAAGATAAGGTCATTTTTTACTGTGAGCACACTTGCACGCATTAAAAAATGAAATTCTGTGACATATGTATATACCTACACCCATACTTATAAATACATATAAATCTTAATCACTGTCCATCTTGAATACATAGCAGAAAGAGGAAGCTTGCGTGTTTACTGGCCAGCACACTGGCCTCCATTAAAAATGAAATTCTGTTGCTTGCTTTCAAAATAAAATATATATTTATCCAGATATACACACTCACCTTCTATCTATCATTTATCTCTCTCTCCCTATCATACATATATCAACTCTCTACCTATCATCCATCCATCCATCCATCCATCCAATATCTATCTATCTATCTATCTATCTATCTATCTATCTATCTATCTAT